ACTAGGGATGGATGGGATTGAATTTTTAGTTCAAGACAGGACGGGACAGGATTTTTATTTCCTTCCCTATTTTCGGGACAGGACGGGACGGGATGGGATTTTTTCCTGTGCATAAAAGAAAAGCTTTGAGTATTGCAGTTACCAAATAAGACAATCAAAATCAATTTTTACCGTTTATGACACTGATCTATCAAAACCAAAAAATGGGTAAACATTTATAGGTATAGAAACCTGTGAATCGCCGTCGAAATGATTCGCGGTCACGGTGTGATCGTAGAAATGACTCACGGTAACGGCGGGATTGTCGGTATGACTCTGCGGTCACGGCCGGAACGTCTGTACGACTTGCGGTAACGGCGTGATCGTCGGTATGACTCGCGGTCTAGGCGGAATCGTCGGTATGACTCCGTGGCCACGGCACAATGGTCGGTAAGACTCCACGGTCACGGCGTGATCGTCGGTATGACTCGCGGACTCGGAGGAATTGTCGGTATGACTCCACGGTCATGGTGCAATCGTCGGTATGACTTGCGGTCACGGCGTGATCGTCGGTATGACTCGCGGTCACGGTGCTATCGACAGTACGACTCACATTCACAGCATGATCGTCAGTATGACACGCTGTCGGTATGACTCACGGTCACGGCGTGATCGTCGGTATGACCCTGCGGTCACGGCGTGATCATCGGTATGACTCGCAGTCTCAGTGGGACCGTCGGTATGACTCCGCAGTCACGGCGCGATCGTGAAATAACTTCGGCAAAATCGTCGAGGATTGGAACAAATCCCGTCCCAATATATTCCAGAATCAAATGTAATCCCGTCCCGAAAATCAGGAATATTTTTTTCTGAAAATTTCCCGAAATTTCGGGACCCGTCCATCCCTATCAAAAACGCAATAGTAGATGGCCTTACACAGCTGGTTTGTGTGTTGTTGTTTCCACTGTTTGTGTTCTAGTAAATGTTTTTTTGCAAGTTGTTTTGGTAATAGAAGTTCATATAATATTCATGAATTGTTTAAAATAATTTTTAAACCTTTAAAAAGTGACTAGTGGCTTGTAGGGACATAAGCCCCTAAAAAGCTCAAATGTAAAACAAATAATTGTAATATTAAAACAAACTCAGAATTATTTTATCGATGTGTCCGAATAGATATCCATGTACACCATATCTTTTGAGTAAAAAAAGTTGTTGGTTTGTCTTTGCTTTTGTTGGTGTTATTTTTTATAAATAATTTGAATCACTCCAGAGGTTTAACCCTGCTAAAGAGCAAATTTATAATTGTTTGTGAAAAAATACTGGTTTACTAACGTAGCTGTGGCGTTTGGTCTTGTGTTTGTGGTTAATGATGATAAAAAAGGCTTCCCTGATTAGAATTTTGAAAATTTTCTTCGTCAAATATGAAAAGACAAATAAAGGGTGTGTTGAGATAAGCTTAGATCTTGGTCAAAACCGCTAAATCATCCCGACCCAGTTATTATTTCAAAGTTTATACTCCTTTAAAGCTTTAACAAAATTATTGTAAAGAAAGAGCATCCCATTGACCAAACTTAATTCTATATTTGTTTCTGATCACCATAAAAACTACAATTAGTGTAAGTTTATGAGGTGGTATTCCTCTTAAAGGTGCGATTGACTTTATATATTCTATCAAGATAGGCCTAATCATCATAATTGTACGAACCTATTTCATCTTTATTCTCAGGTTATTTTCTAAGAGTGTTGAGGTTATTTCCCTTCATACAAAATATTAATTACACACTATAATAAATTTCAAATTAAAAATGATAGTTAATTTACAAAGAAAGTGTAGAATAAATATTAAACATTTGTTTTAAAACAAAGGAGAAGTTCCCCATTTAAATCTTGAATCGTTAATTATTTAGTCAATGTGGTTATTTCATGTTAACCGTTCCTTCAACACAACAATAACCTTTAAATTAGAAGAAAAAAAACTTGATAGTTTATTCACCCATTCTAAGTTCAATTCTTTCTATTTGAGCCAGCTCCCATGATTCTAATTCATATCATATGCTTAAAAATAAAGAAATTAGTAAGGTTTCACAGTAAAATAATTAATTTTACCTTTCTAGGACGTAACTAAAAAGTCTTGATAATTATAGGTGTATTACTTATATAGTGTGATTACTTATAATAGTGTACAGTAGATTGCAAAGTAGACTGGCACATATGTAATCCAAATGTTAATATTGCGTACCGGCTAAGTGATAAATCACGATCAGCTGTATTGAAGTAATAAAAAATCAGCAGTAAATGGCTTCTAATGCTATTCTAATGGAGAACTTTTACGTTATATCTAATTTTGTGTTAACAATTTTGGAATTTCACTATTTTTCACGCCGTCACGGGATCGAGACCTTTAATTTAAGCTCTCCTGTCGTTCTACGACTTCCCAGTTGCCTACAATTTTGACGCGAAGAATCGGATACGTAATTAATATATAGATAATACTACAACTTATTTGTGTGTTTTACTGAGTTTTAGGCTAATCTTAAGTGTACCGATAACTGGGCTTGGTAACTTAGGCCTATAGGTGCATGGTTTTATTTTGACTGTTTGTATATTTTGTACATGGCTTCTAATAGTAATTAGAATCATAAACATAATAATAATAACATAAAATACAGTCAAATGTAAAATGATATAGTTTTGTCTGTAACGATATAAGTATTAGAGCATGGTTTAGGTTGTTTGCTAGGTAGGGCCTAGAATCTTTCTCGAGACCTCTTTGTAGTAAATGTTACATATTTTTGTGGGAAAATAAAAAAAAAACAAATTTGTTAACATGATTTTTCTTTAGTTGTTAATGCTCTTTAAAATGAATGTAAAATTGAATGTCAATGAATAATTGTAAATTATGTTATTTTAGCTCAAACTTTAAACATGAGAATAAATTGTCACATATTTCTGTCTTGTCCATGAATACATTTTATTTTAACTCGTGAAACCCCAACTTAAATTAGTATTTTACAATGCACGATCTAATAATCTACTAAACAAAACATATTTAGGCCAAAAATGTTGATAAATATAAGTATTTTATGACGGTTTTCCTAAACACCTACATTTATGTGAGAGAAATGGCAAGCATTCCTAGAAGCAATACCACATGTAGGCCTGGCAAACCTCAAGTACAATTGTTTCGCCCACTTGAGGCACTAAAAGGGCTAACAACAAAACATAAACAATCTTGTAATTTTTAACATATTGCTGTAAATTTGATACAGACAAGAAGCACAAACACTTTAGAATTATTTAGACGACAATAGTGTCATTCGTTGAGTAGAGAGAGGGATAGAGTTAGAAGTAAGCATTAAGGTAGCGGCCGAGCTTATCAGCTGTCAGGGCAAAGGTTGTGTGGCAGCACAACTGGACTGTCGAAGCCTACCTCCCCCACCTCACTCCTACACCCCCTGCCACTGGAAGACCCTATATAAGCAGGTGTGTTTGGGGCATAGTTGATCTTTGGACATAGTACAGCTCACAAGGTAGGTACCATCATCATCGTGGTCGAATATACTGCGACTATAGCCATAAGCGTGACGTAACAAGTCGTGCTGAGAGTAGTAGTCTTAGGCCCGAAATGGATAGTGTCGGTAAGTATACGCTCGGAGTTGTTAGGCATACAAAGCAGCCCCATATTAGTATAGTAAGTTCTACCCAAGCATTATAACTTGAGCAGAACATTTGACGGGACGGCTTAGGAGGTAGGTACCGTGAGGGAATACCTCGTGGCAAAGCTAGGCTGCTTAGAGCCTGTCACAGCGAATTGTATTTGATTGGATTTGGACTACGAAACAAGGTAAGTGTCATCTCGTGACCAGATAAGTTACGACACACAAGTTAGGGTAACGGATAGTTACCTTAACCTACAAATCAGTTGATAGGGTCACGGTAAACATTAGTTACCGCGAGAATTCCAAAAAGAACAAAGGGTCAAACAAAGTACATATATGATATCTCGAGGTGGGCGATGATGAGTCCTTTGTAGGTGTACTTGGCGGCCGCGGACTGAGCATTAACCTCGAGATATATCGAGAAATCAAGACTTAAACTAACTTTAGACACCTGGATAGTTAGATAACCATACCCTGAACTGTCGGGAGAAATAGTAGAAATATAAATTTATTATTAAGGGTAAAAATCCCACACAAGTTTTTTGATCGTCTTAGTACTGTTGTTATTTTTTTATAGGCAGTGTAGTAATAATGAAACATTTACAAGAACAAAGCATGCATTTTCACTCATTCAGACAATAAATTCAATAATTCCTACAGCCTGTAATTACATAATTTATATTGAGAGAGAGGTGGCCTGAAAAAGAAAGTTCACTACAGTAGACTCCCTCTTATCCGGACTCCTCGGGACCGAGGCCAGTCCGGATAGCGGTTGCATACTCTATACAGTACTTTACTTAAAACTAGGAGAGCATTGTATTTAGACACGTAATCACTGATCTCAAATCTTTCCTACGAGAACAATCGTTTCAGTACCGCCCACTTCCTGCCGATTTAGTCCGGTTAAACCAATGTACTGATAAAAATTATCCAGATAAAGAGATGTCACTTCTACTGAGTGTGGTCCGGTTAAACCAAAAGGTGTCCGGATAAGAGAGTCTACTGTATCTAAGATCACTGAGAGATTGATCTTGTCATAAATTGACATGGATCTCACAATCAAGTGAGACAATCAAATCACTAAACTGCCTGTCGCCAAAGACGATTTAATATAGTAAACCAATTAGAAACCAACAACCAATGTGTAAAAAAAGAGCATTTGTATAATACGCATGACATGTAAAATTCACATCGAGATGGAACATCAACAAGAATATTTATGGAAAAGAACATAAAAAGTTACAAATTCCATTCTAAAAATTAAATTACATTACAAAAACAAAGAAAAATGTTGTAATGAGATGTGTTGTAATGTTAATAAATGTGATATGAAGGATCTCACTGATCTTCCATTAGACTCACTCATGTCTCAGTCTGCACCTTGGATGTTTCAAGTCCAAAACTGAAACAAACATCCATTCCAAGTGTTACCCCATGTAAAAACATTCACAGATTAGTGTTAAAGACTATTAAATGTAACATTATTAGTCAAAGTACATTCAAATTAGGGTTGCCATCAAAGTTGCATTTAAGATACCAGGTTAACAAATAATAAATAATGTTAACAAAAATGTCAAGAGAAGTAAGTACAAATATTTTTAAATGTAGAACAAATAATACTTATTTATAGTGCAATTCAACTTCAGCCAATTGAATTCCAAGGAAGAAGAGGGAAGTTTGATTAATAGGTTATTATAACATCACAATTTGTATTTACCAAGGGGATCTGTCAACTGTTTATAGTTTATAGAGGGTGGATTGAGCAAATTAAATGCAGTATAAGGGCTGCAAGTTATGTAGAGGTGTGAGAGCCAGAGACTTTTTATCTAGTCGAGATTGAATTAAGCTTTTTGAATAAGCATACACACAGTACATATTTCAAGTACTGAAGTATTTTATATTTCACATGAAAATATTTCAAGTATTAATGAACTTTTCATAATTTATAGGGTACACTTTCTCTGTGGAAAAGAAGACTTTTTATTAATTCAATGCCAGTATTTCTTTTATCTCCAGCAATGGCTAATGTCTTTGGTAAGAAGTTAAATATTTACGATTTAACTTATCTGATTATTCAATTAACGAAAAAACAAAACCACAAGTTAAAGCTATCCAAAGTTTTGATTAATGTATTACATGGCTACCAGTAGAATAGCAATATGAAATAAGAGATCATAGATTTTGTATGTACATTAAATTTATTAATGTCATCATGCCTATAATCCGTGAATGCAGTTAGATTGTGATAATTTCCTGTGTTCGCGGAGAGATCATCTTAGTTATTCAAGAAATTATTGCGGACATTTTCAATGAAAAAAAGCTTTGTGAATGAATTAATCAAATTAAGTTTTTTTACTAATCGTGTTGGAATATTTCGGCCATGCACTCTAAAAATATAAACCCACCTCTACAAATAATAAACTTAAAGAAATATCATCATCTTCCACGATTACAAAAACATCATCACTATCAAAATACTTAACAGCTACCGCGGTCTTGTAAACATCATCATCGTTTCCCGCAATCGCGCAACATCATTGTTGTCTCCCACGGTCAAAGAAACACCATCATTGTGTTGTGGGGGGGAGGGGGGTTCGCTATAGCAGCAAAATACTTAAAAGCTTCTGCTTGAAGACATCATCATCAGTTCCTGTGTTTGCGCAAACATCATTGTTGTCTTCCACGGTCATAGAAACATCATCATTCTCTTTTGCATCTATTGAACATCTACTGAGGTCATGTGACATTGTCGTGACATCATTATTATCTCCAGTGATCACAATAATGTTATCGCCCACGATCAAGAGCTCATAATGAGCTTGATTTTCTAACTTGGTGCTTAACCATTTGAGCTTTTAGATTGGCTCGGCTCAGTTGCAAATAGAGCTGCTTGCACACCTTTAATATTTAGTTTCAAATTTTTAAAAGTTGGCAGAAAACGAGGAAATGAGCAAGAAAGTAAGTAAATTGTAGATAATAATATTTAGATAATCACTGATAAAACAGACGTGGCTGAAGGGTTTAAGTTATGGAGGATACAGCATTCTATTTGTTAACATGGATGCTTCAATTCATAGACATTATAGTTTCAAAATTAATATACTGTTTAAGTCTGTTAGCTTAAAATGTTCAAAGAAAACGGAAAATCTATAAAAGGGTTGTACAGTAGTATGTTCAAAGGAAATGGAAAATCTATTAAAGGGTTGTAGTATGTAACTGACAACGATTCAGATTGAATTAATCAAGGTTCCACTATTACCAGCATCTATACATGTTAGGTTCCTATACACACACCTAGTGATGGTCAAAACCAGAAATTTCGAATCTCAAAACCAAAACCGAAACTTAAAAAATCGAATCCCGAATCTCGAATCTCAAAACCTAAACGCGAAACTTTTTAGTTACCCGAAAAATACAGGTAATGATAACATTTTCATTATGATTATGTGATCAAAACTCAAAGAGATTGACTCCTGATCCAGAAATAATAACATAAATGTGGCAGATAAACTTCAAACCCAGAACAACATACTTTTTTTATAAACAACTAACATTACAATAAATTAAACTCCTGGTATTAAATTAATGATCAGATGATATGACATTATAATAGATGAGTGAACGAAGTGAACGAATCTATGTATCGTGTATAGCGGAGTCGGAGAAAAGTTGTCCGCTGGAGTATGTGTGTGTGTGTGTTCGCACCTAAAACTCAAGAACCGTTGCACTTATAGCGTTCAAATTTTGCACAAATAGTTATGACACCAGTGTAAAGACACCATTAAAATTCTAGACGATTTCGCTCAGTAGTAATTATAAAATACTTAAAAAACATTTTTAAATTTGTCCCATAAGAATAACATTAGGAGCTACCTTCTTCTTCTTTTTATTTGTTTACGTTTTGCGACAAACAATTTTGTTGTCTACTTAAGACAGAGAGAACGACTTTTACTCTAAGCTCTTTCATTAATTGAGTAAACAGTTTGGCGTCTATGAATATATATCATTATAATTTCACAGCTTTCAGAATAATGTTATTTAAGCTAATTAAATCTCACAACTTTCATAATAATAAAATGAACTTAACAATATTAGTCGGCAGTTATATACCGTTTATGTTCAGTATTAAAATTTCGCCTTTTAATTAAAAGTATATAGGTATGTATGTATTTAGAACAAAGCAGCTTTTTACATTATTCAATTTAATGTTGGCGTTGAATATTAAATATTCAAAAATGTTGGTATATTTTGATACTAAAATGCTATGCGAGGGGGGGGGAACAGGTCCCCGTCGTAGAGAGTGGTAAAGAAAGCGGAAAGGTGAGCAGTGAAAAGAAAGGAGTACGGAAACCCTTTATGACTGTTAAATTAACGTATCTGTAATACTTAAATGCTATGGAAAGATAGGGAAACAGGTCTACGATGTAGGAAGTAGTGAAGGAAATAGTGAAGGAAATAGTGAAGAAAGTAGTCAAGGCGAGCGCTGCGGAGTGTGGGGGGCCTTTATGACAGTTAGAATAATGTATCTGCAATTCTAAAAATGCTATAGGAAGGGAGGGAAACAGGTTCACGACACTTAGGAAGTGGTGAAGGAAGTAGTCAAGGCGAGCATTCCGGAGTGTGGGAACCCTTTGTGGCAGTTAGATTAATGTATCTACCATAATAAAATGCTATAGGAAGGGAGGGAAACAGGTCCATGACGTCGGAAGCGGTGATGGAAGTAGTCAAGGCGAGCAGTCCAGAGTGTAGAAACCCTTTTGACAGTTAGATTAATATACCTGCAATACTAAAATGCTATAGGAAGGGAAGGAAACAGGTCCACGACGTAGGAAGTGGTATTGGAAGTAGTCGAGACGAGCATTCTGGAGTGTAGAAACCCTTTGTGGCAGTTAGATTAGTGTAACTGCAATTCTAAAATGCTATGGGAAGGGAGGGAAACAGGTCCATGACGTAGGAAGCGGTGATGGAAGTAGTCAAGGTGAGCAGTCCGGAGTGTAGAAATCCTTTGTGACAGTTAGATTAATATACCTGCAATACTAAAATGCTATAGGAAGGGAAGGAAACAGGTCCACGACGTTGGAAGTGGTAATGGAAGTAGTCGAGGTGAACATTCTGGAGTGTAGAAACCCTTTGTGACAGTTAGATTAGTGTAACTGCAATTCGAAAATGCTATGGTAAGGGAGGGAAACAGGTCCACGACGAAGGAAGTGGTGAAGGAAATAGTTGAGGCGAGCATTCCGGAGTGTAGAAACCCTTAGTGATAATTAGAATAATGTACAGTATCTGCAATTCTAAAAATGCTTTGGGAAGGGAGGGAAACAGGTCCACGACGTAGGAAGTGGTGAAGGGAGTAGTCGAGGCGAGGAGTCCGGAGTGTGGAAACCCTTTGTGACAGTTAGATTAGTGTATCTGCAATAATAAAATGCTATGAGAAGAGAGGGAAACAGGTCCACGACGTAGGAAGTGGTGAAGGATGTAGTCAAGGTGAACCGTCCGGAGTGTGGGAACCCTTTGTGAAAGTTAAATTAATCTATTTGAAATTCTAAAATGCTATATAAAGGGAGGGAAACAGGTCTACGACGTAGGAAGTGGTGAAGGAAATAGTTGAGGCGAGCATTCCGGAGTGTAGAAACCCTTAGTGATAATTAGAATAATGTACAGTATCTGCAATTCTAAAAATGCTTTGGGAAGGGAGGGAAACAGGTCCACGACGTAGGAAGTGGTGAAGGGAGTAGTCGAGGCGAGGAGTCCGGAGTGTGGAAACCCTTTGTGACAGTTAGATTAGTGTATCTGCAATAATAAAATGCTATGAGAAGAGAGGGAAACAGGTCCACGACGTAGGAAGTGGTAAAGGAAGTAGTCAAGGTGAACAGTCCAGAGTGTGGGAACTCTTTGTGACAGTTAGATTAACGTATCTGCAATAATAAAATGCTATGAGAAGAGAGGGAAACAGGAAATACGTTAGGTATATTACCAATGACTTTGGTTAATTAATGGACGAGAAGTTAGGATTGTTGTTGACTGAGATTTGGTTTTTTTAAGAGGTTGGTCCAGCCTCTTTTAACCTCGCCCGTGCGTGGATCGTTTACAGCAAAGCAATTGGTGGCCGGTACAGTGCAAAGGTGAACTGTACTGATAAAATTTAGTGGCAGTGACCAGGATCCGAACTCACGACATCGCTGCCTTGGGCCCGAAGTTTGCGTGACGCTACCGACTTGAGTCACCGACTCACCATTATTTGCCCCGACTCATGGGTCGATTTGCCCATACAAATAACATTATTGTGTACACCAGTGACACCGGTAAGTGTGCTAGGTGTGGGTAAACTCTTTCATTATTGCGCTCATGTTCACTCATCCTGTTACGTGCAGAATAAGCGTACTACTAGTGATATTATAATAATTTGAACATTTTGTGGCCAATAAAATTTTTTTGTGTCTAATAAATATTGATATGAATCTGAATTGTTAGTTGTTCCACTATTTAAGATGCCTTTTGCAGTTAAGAATACAATTTACTTGTTTCATTAGTGTTAATGGTGATCTGTTTGCTCCATTGCTACCAGCTTGTTTGTAAACAGTGTTAAAAACAATAATAACGACACAAAAAATCTCAGCAGTTTCAAAAATGAAAGTGCCAAAATTTTTAAATTCGAAACTTTTGAATCTCGAAACTCACCTATCGAGTTGTTTTGAAATGCAGTTGTACTGAGAAACGCTTAATCAATAAAGACATTTTTACTATTTATTTATTTATTATTTATCACAGATATTTCCAGTTTAATAAGTGTATAAAACTGTTAATGGAAAACGTTTTATGTTAAGTGATGATAGCGATTATTTCCTAACTGTTTATAAATTGCTTGCATACTGTCTTCAGGAATATCACTCCAAATCGATCAATAGAATATCAACTTTGAAATAATACTCAGAGAGTAGCTACAATTTCTAGAATCATATTTTAGTCAAAGTTTAGTTGACTTGTTACCCCCAGAAGAATTTTTTTAAAAGTTTACATATTCACCCTCTGAGCAATTACCACTCCTCTCCACAAATTTCGGAACCATAATATACCCCTTTCGCAGCAAACCTGCGGACTAAGCGAATTTCCATTTGCCTGATTGTATTTTCCTAATTATCTCCTTAAAAATGTCAGTTTCCTATTTTAGTAACATTAGTTTAACTAATACCTATGTTTGCTGCTACAAGAAATATATTAAATAATGTGTTTTGTGAAATTATGAAAAAAGTTTAACATAAAATAATAATGTTTCCAAATTTGATCAAAAATATGTTTATAAATCTACATAAAAATTAAGCGAATAACAACACAAAAATGTACTATTTTTTTAAAATCAGTCTGTACAAAAACGCAAACCTTTTGAGGGGACAAAATAAAAAATATGATGTGTTTGGCCTTAAGGTTGAACTTAGGTTAAAATATTCAATCACTTATCAAATTTTCAATTAATAGGTCAATACAAATAGTTAAGTCATGCAGACACAAGTTAGCAAGGGAGCTCTTCAGTTGGAAGGTAAATTAGACTGCTGTTCTGCTGTGCCTATGTTTCTGAATAAATATGACCCATCTTACTAGTGATTCTCTTGACAGAAGCTCCATACAACTGGTCTGTTCTAAACTTGGCAGCTTTCTCAGCCAAGGTCAAGGTTCCGTCTTTGTCCAGGCGGCTTAGACCGAACTCAGTGGCTCCTCCAGTGACAAATGGAATGTAATTCTGGTCCGAGACTTTGCCTGGTAAACAAATATTCATCATTAAGAAGGACTCTGTTCCATGTCAATAAGCCCTAATTTTCTCATAAAAATTATTGTTATGAACATATCCTGTTATATTATTGTGCCAATACATTACACCAGTGTCTTGGAGATCAAGAATCCTCGGGAATAAGATTTTAAATTACCACCACAACCTCAGACGGGTGTTATCCAAAGATATACAAATGAATGACATAGATTGAACGTCATCATTGACCTAGGATACTGCAATTAGACTAACCATCCTTTTATGAAATCTAAAAAGTTGTTTGGCGTCTGTTTAGTTGTGGTTACGTTTGGAGGCGCTGAATATTTTATAGTTTAAATAAATGAACATGGGAATTACGATGTACATTGATTCAATGAATGAGGGTGGTTTAGTTATCATGGATATTAGAACTGATAACGGAATGGTTAATAAACATAGACAATTAATTACGTCACTAGCTATACTAGCGTTTTTACTTTTTAAATTCCTTGAACATGTGACCAGTTCTTTTGTTCAAATGAATATTATTTTATTTTTGACTCAGCTGTTTACAAAACAAACTAATATGTTGTTGTGTTTACTTTTCTTTGTTTACACTTATTTATTTAGCAATTGATGTGGTGAAATTGACATAAAGGATGTGTGTGTGTGGACGATTCGTTTAATGATGTCAGGACACCAACATTATAATTATGTGTACTGTGAATTTTATTGGATATTTTCGTTTTATTTTAGGGAGTTTCAATTCAGACCTACTGGAAATTGTGTATAGTATGAGTAATTGTATTGTGGTGATATTGATTATGGAAGAGGCAGGTATGCGATGGTAGGTGATATCATTGACTAGGCCTATACACTTCTCAATTGATAATTACTCTTTCTACTGTAGGCTGCAATAAAATTTGTCTTTATACGTGTAAACTAGCTGTTCTGAATCATAGGCCTACACAGTTTTAACTGACTACTCCCGTACATAGGACGGGCTAACACCTCGTCTGCTTTTAAATTATAATTATTTGTAAACATTGTAGTTCCAAAAGTCTGACATTGGACCCCCTAAAACCCTCTGAGGCAGAGCCCTTTTGACAGATCTGCACCAAACTTCACACAAACTATTCTTGAATAATGCTTAATAGTGCCTGAAAGTTACATTACAATCTGTCGAGTACGGAGTCCATACATACTTCCTCTTTTATAGATATAGATAATTTCTTAAGTACTCCAACAACTCTTTCTTCTCTCTAAAGTATACTCTTTTCTAAATATACTCTACTCAGCTATACGTTTATTTGCACAAAGAAATTATCAGAGAGATATGATGTTCACCGACCAAGGACAATGAAATTGTGATTTGGCAGCTGCATAAATAAAGGGGGAATAAAAAAATTACAAATTTTAGGCCTATATTTAAACGGGCAAAGTTAGGGTCATGGCCCTTTCTAACACTTAACCTGTAGAAAACCCCTAAGATACCACAAAAATAAATGTCAACCAAATAAGTTGACAAAAAGTAATGTATACCCTAATCCAAAAGTTTGGCCTTTTGGTAAAGCCCACGGGAGGACGTAACAATGAACGAAAGACAGCAACATTTATTTCTCAATACTGTTAGCGCATGATAAAACATAATTTTCACTGTAAAGAAGAAGAAATTTTGTACAGTAGACAGTTAAATGTCAGACAACTGGCAAGCGTCTCGCCCACAACAAATTATCGTACTGATTCTGTTATCGAGAACGCCATTGCATGTACTCATTTAATGTATTACTTTAGATTACTTCAGATTATTTAAATTTACTTATATAAGTGAATAAGTTTTTATTTAATTTATGTTTTAGAGGTTAAGTGGTAGAGAGGACTTACAAGTCCTAACTTCGCCTCTTAAATAAAGATATTTTTCATTTCATTCATTCATTTAATTTCATTTCATTACATTGAATTGGTATTAACTCATACAGGGTCGGGAGGAACCAGCAATTGCCGATACAATACTATGTTGCTGATGTGGGTATCAATTTTGTCTTCTTTTTATTACTGCAGTTAAAACCTATTGGAAAGAATATTCGGGCATGAATGTCATCAACATATTCTTGATTTAAAAATTTAAATCAATATTTTTTATGTTGGACTATTTGTTTGCGTGTTTGGTATTTTTTTTTATTATCAATCACGATTTCCCAATCATTAAAGGACAGTCATAGTTAAGCATTTCACAACCTGATGAGTGATGAACAAAGGTCACCCATTTAATTCCTCATTACAGACATTATCAAACAACCTTCCATTCTTATCCTTGGTTATTATTATTATATTATATATGGTTATTAAGACGAAAAATGTTGCCAACTATCTCCAGTAATAGTATTTTACTATAAGATAACTTACTTTTAACCTTCATCTTTCGACTTCTCTTCCTAATTTTCTTTGGTCTTTCACTAGTAGTGTCAGAATCTGACTCCTCTGCCCGTTGCCTTTTCTTTTCTTTGTCCTCATTTGCAAGAGTCTCCAAAATCTCTGATGGTAACTTCTTCAATTCTTTCAGCTATAAAACATAAATGCATTCTTATTCATACATTCTTATTCTTAACTTAAGTTTGAGTTGAGGTGTTGAAAGAGGAATGTTGCTATTAATGAAAGGACACAAGTTAATGATAATAATATGTTAATAATTCCTTAACCCTTTCCACTTGGGTTAGTTGAACTCTTGTTGTCCCATATACTTGCATTTAATTTCATACAATAAAACATGTTTTTGGTTTTGTGTTCATACTGTGATTAAAATAAATTATTTGTTGTACACTTCTCATAAAATAATATAGAAAATCTATGATTAAGTTAGACCTATAAAAGTTATGATCAAGTTTTAGTGAAAAAATAAACAAACCATTGATTATGAATAAAGAAAAATATGTGCATATTTAAAAATTTAAAAGTGATTTAATAATCCTTAATCAAGGCATGTACCCTTAGGCCAGGGATTATTAAAAAACTAATGTTAAACAAAGAGGTTTCTCATCAATTCTTTTCATTCAAGTATGGAGTTCAAAAGGGTGCAGCTTACGGTATTTTAAAAAAGTTGTGATATCTTTATTTATAGATGTTTGTGATTTCACATTAAAGAAGCAAACACTATATAGTACTTTGTAATGTAGGATCGTTCTATACTGAATTGTATTTTACTACAATATTTCATACATACTAATTCTTTTAGGTCATATTATTTTTAGGGAGGAGATGAAGCCGGACATATGTAGGTTCTGGATTGTTGAGGACCAAATCATTGATGGAGTACTATATTTTTTTTTTTTTTTTATTTATACAAAACTGTACTTTGTGAACTAACCTTATGTTTTGTCAAAGGTTCCTTGGTTTCTTGAAGAGACTCCAAAACCCTCTTCCTTGACAGCTTGGATGTTTTGGAAGAACATTGTGCAAACAAGTTTGACAATTTATTTCTCCCTAAAAAGTTATACAAGGAATAAAAATCTAAAAATATGTTTTTGATGATTAAACTTTTAGAACCTACTTTCTCTCTTTTAGAAGGGGAACACAGTAACAGCTCTTAAAAATAATGTTCAGGTTAATGAGTAAGTAGGCTTATAGAGCATAAAAAAACCAAAAAATACCATACAGTTAGTAATAGGCTTGCAAACACAAAAAACCAACCAACAATTTGATCACAATAATTATAAAAGTTTCATAAATGTTTTTAATAGTAACTCAAAAGGTACAATTGTATATGTTATGTAAACAAGTTCAATTTTATAATAAACTAAACTTGACCTGTAATGTAAACAAATAGTAATTGTGAATCTGCAAATAGAATGATGGCCTGCCTATAAGGTTAGAAGAGAGAAGTTGTATCTTAAGATACCGTATGTTCTTAGAACAATTAGTATTTTTCAGCATTAGCAATTTTTTGATTCAATTAGATATCAACCAAAATAAGGTTTACTGTTGTTTTTAGATTTCTAAAGAAAGGCCATTTTAGTATGTTGCAATCAGTTCCACAATCATTGGATTGACTGTAAGGTAGGAGAGTACAGCCAACTTGTGGGTTTAAAACTTTTACAGTAGGCCTACCTGAAACAAGGTCATTCCTCATTTTCTTCTTGAGTCGAGCTTGAACCTGAAACAAATGAACCCCCACATAAAATGAAACACTAATGTCTAAGTATCTTAATAACACATATCTCGTCCTCTTAAAACAATCTCGTATGTACGGTGGAATCCTGCTATTCCAAAAATCTGGCTATATTCCAAACAGAATTTGGAAAATAACATTTTTTTCACTCTAGGGGAGTAGTGACTACTGTCACCGAGCAGATAACCTCCAATCAGACCTCTGGACAGCTCCCTCTTTGGTCTTTGGGATATCGGACTGTCTGCAATAACAGCCAATGAGTATATCCATGGTTTATTTTGAATGTAAAGTATGTGTAAATGTATTTATTTTGAAGGGTTTTTTTTTAATACTGTCCTGTGCTTGATTAACTATAGGGATGGACAGTCCCGAAATTTCGGGAATTTTTCGGGAAAAAAATATTCCCGATTATCGGGACGGGATTACATTTGACTCGGGAATTTTTCGGGACGGGATTTGGTCCAATCGTCGGCGATTTCTCCGCTTCGCGAGTGCCGATAACGCCGTTATTGCGAGCGATACGCGGTCCGCGAACGCAGGAGACGAAGTCATTTCGACGATTACGCCGTGACCGCGGAGTCCTACCGACGACCGCGCCGTGACCGCGAGTCATACCGACGATCGCGCCGTGACTGCGGAGTCCTACCGACGATCGCGCCGTGACCGCGAGTCATACCGACGATCGCGCCGTGACCGCGGAGTCCTACCGACGATCGCGCCGTGACCGCGAGTCATACCGACGATCGCGCCGTGACCGCGGAGTCCTACCGACGATCGCGCCGTGACCGCGGAGTCCTACCGACGATCGCGCCGTGACCGCAGAGTCATACTGACGATCTTGCCGTGATGGCGGAGTCATGCTGACGATCGAGCCGTGATCGCGAGTCATAACGACGATCATGCCGTGACCGCGAGTCATACCGACGATAACCCCGTGACCGCGGAGTCATACCGACGATCGCGCTCTGACCGCAAGTCATACCGACGATCGCGCTCTGACCGCAAGTCATACCGACGATCGCGCCGTGACCGCGAGTCATACCGACGATCGCGCCGTGACCGCGAGTCATACCGACGATCGCGCCGTGACCGCGAGTCATACCGACGATTGCGCCGTGACCGCGAGTCATGACGACGATCGCGCCGTGACCGTGGAGTCATACCGACGATAACCCCGTGACCGCGAGTCATACCGACGATCGCGTCGTGACCGCGAGTCATGACGACGATCGCGCCGTGACCGTGGAGTCATACCGACGATCACCCCGTGACCCGCGAGTCACAAGTTTCTATAGGTACCTGTAAATTGTTACCCATTTTTTGGTTTTTATAGATCAGTGCCACAAATGGTAAAAATTGATTTCGTATGTCTTTTTTGGTAACTGCAATACAGTACTTTCTTTTTATGCACAGAAAAAAATCCCGTCCCGTCCCGTCCCGAAAATCGGGAAGGAAATAAAAATCCCGTCCCGTCCCGAACTAAAAATTCAATCCCGTCCATCCCTAATTAACTATAACAGGGTGGCTACTGCATCAGTAATTTTAAATTCCCTGACTTTTCCCTGACTTTTCCCTGACCAATATATAATTTTCCCTGACCAAAAATACAGGTGATTTGCGTTAAATTAATGTTCTTACTTAGATATAATCACTAAATAAAACATAAAAATTACTGACTTCAAGCTATAGAAGCGTTTTTCAGGTTTTTCATTAATAGATTGCTGAACGTAAAAAGTCGAATAAATAGGCTAGGCCTACTAAAATATAAATATTTTATGGTTAATAACTGATGGAGTAGGCTTACCCAAATATATACTAAGATCAAGATGATAAGAAGAAAAAAGAAAGTGAAAAAATATAGGCTAGCCTATCACTGCTAGTTTTGGGCTATTCAGATAATCAGATATAGGCCTACTCTATAACATAAATAAACTTGCTGCTGGTATTTTGAGTAGAATTTTATTAGTATACTTACAGCTGTAGTAGTGCTGCTAAGTTTTCAACCACTCCTATTAAATCAAAGTTTATGTACAATCTATTTACACTGCACTCCACGAACATTTGTACAACTTATTTACATTTTTTCACATCCACATCATTAGTTTTTCTTTACAATACTTTTGATCTGCTCATTCAGCAGATCAGTTTGTTTTTGAGCTTCTTCCAGAATTTTTATTTTCTTAGTTTCTAATTCCTTTAAAAGTAGCTGCGCTTTCCTCTTATTCTCATTCTTCTCTGCTTCTTCTGTCATAACTCTCTTCTTTTCTTTTGAAGCTTCGACAAACCTGGAATGGGCATTTCTGGCAGAATGTATGAGGAGCTTATCAACATCCAAGTTTTGTATGCCACCCTTGGTTGAAATTGTGTCATAAACGACCCTCCTTGCTACGAGAAGTTCACATTTCATGTTTTCCATTACACATTCTGAATTAACTGAAAACCCTCTTTCAACATTTGCGTTTCCATGAGAAAGGGTTGAGACCAACTTTAAAACTTTAAGTAAATGTGGACTTGAGCCAACGGTTACAAGATTTTTCCAAAACTTGTCAAGACGAACATTTCGATTGTAGGCTTTTAACTGGATCATGGACTCAGGCTGCTGACAAATAGTTTCATACTCCCTCATGACTTTGTCCACAACTGTGCTAGTGATCCAATTATTCTCCAACAAAATTGTCAATAGTAGCTCCATCCTCTTCTTTGCGAGACCAAAATTCACTGTGACTACTTGTGGATCGAAACATGATACTGCTCTAGTCAATTTAAAAAACAAAGGTGACTTTATTAACATCTTGTTGATAAATTTTAACAAAGCATTTTTACAACTTTCTCTAAATTTCAAAATTTGTTGGTCAGAGATATTTTTTTTGTTGACTTTTGAAATAGCATTTTTTGTGGCGATACCAATAGCTACATCTTTACAGGGCAATAGGTTACTTTTCTCCAATTTTACCTCTTTCACAGATTTTGCTCTCTTTAATTCTTCTGGATTTACAATTCTATCCATCTGTATTTTTACCAGTGTAGTCAGATCGTTAAAAAGGAAAGGCGCCATCGGGACATCACTTTGGAATTGTGTCAAAAAAGGCTCCACATCAGAAGCAAGACCTTTGAAAAATTCCAATTTAGCATGAAGCAACGGATCTGATATAGCCTTTGAAATTACATCAAAACTGTAGGTGTTGATGGCTTTGGATTTGTTTACTTCTTCAACAAAAAGTTTCAGGCTTGGAAGAATGTCTATTGCTCGCTGAGCCACATCAGCATTGTGAAGCCACCGAACTGAACAAAACTTCTTGGGAAACAATTCAGACTTTGTAACAAAAATGAAGTGAGCCCTCCTAGCCGGACTGTCCTTAAAGAGGTTATACAGGGCTCTAAGGAATGGCACGATACCCCAACCTGTTTCTATCATTGCTGACTTAAAAGCATTGTGTAAAGTATGAAGTCCACAGCTGCCCAAATCTAAGATTTTTTTGTCATCTGGCTCACTGTTCATGTCATCTTTAAAGTCTTTCAAAAATTTAAAGTTAACATTAGGTCCGTCCATAGAAATCTGAAGAATTTTCTTTACGTCTACAGATTTAAGACCATCTTTAAAGGCATTGACTAGATCAGCAGCTGTTGCACGGCCTAAGAACTCAGAAGTTAAATAACGGGTTACTACTTCATCAGAGGTATCATCCCAAAAGCGGATATTAATATCCATCTGTTGCTTTTGGGCAACTTTGTTCAATGATTCATCGAATCCAACAACTAAAAATTCGCATGTGTTTACTTTCTGTATCAGTTCTTTTTGGAAATGTGGGGCAATGCCATAAGCAAGAAGGTAGCCTACTTTGTCACGCTGCATTTGCATCTTTTGTGCTATTTCACTGTCAGGGAACATATGCTTAAAAATACTTACATCACTGCCTGCAGTTCGCAGAGACTTATGCGTCATAACACTTTGTATAGCCCATATAATTTCAGATTTTGTAACACTGTCATTAAACAAAAACCTTTTTAGCCCACGAAATGTGTTGGCATCTTCTTGAGTAGGCCTAACCATAATAGCCGTATCCGTAGAGCTTGAAGCACTTGAGTCCGTCGTTGTTGCTTGCTGTTCACTTTCTAAGGGTTTGGAACCAGACGGGACCGATTGCGACTCACTAGGTCTAGTTAAAAAACATTTAACAGAAGCAGACTGTTGACGAGCTCGCATGTTTTTCTTGTGTTTTTCGCCTGTCATGTGACTCGTAACAGCGCGGCGGCCCATATTACTCAAATTAAATGTTTTTTGGCAAACTTTGCACTTAGCCACTTTTGTGTTTAGTGGTACACGCACAAGCCACGAACTAAACTCAACCTCGTTTAGCCAATTTTCTTGAAAAACTGTCAGTTTTGACATCGTTAATATAATATTAGGACGAAACGATTAATTAATACGACACTCAAAACCAAATCATACTGAAAAAACAATCGAACAATAACATTTACATTGCGCAATACCGGTAAGTAATGGCCGACCAAGACTCTGACTACTAACCACTTTTCGTGTCGTCAACGTCCGATACGAACTCCCCCACTTTCCATAAAAATGGAATCGCCCAGCCGTTGTCTTGACAACGGTCTCGTTATCGCAATCGCAGTCGCTGATTCGCTATGAGTCACTGAGCACGCGCATCATCATAATCGTCACTACCCACCCCACCACCCACCAAATTCAAGAATCCGACATTCTATTCTTTGTTTTTGAGGTGTTCTACTAAAAAACAAATTTCAATATCAACTAACTATTATTATTAATCAGTTATGTATATATATTTTATTGAAAAACATACTGTAACATCTTACTTTACATCACGAAAAAATGATAAATTGGTTTTTACAAATGTTTGCAGAAACTACGTGAACAAAATAGTCCGTATTTAAAATTCGAAGTATGTTGTAAATGTTAGGCTGTAAATAACTAATGCATTAGTGTGAGACATTTAGTCATCCGGCCTGTAATTTTGATAACAGAAAGAAAGAAATATATTGAGAACAACGTTAGAACAGAGGTAGAGTGTGTACGTGCGTGTGTGCGAGAGAGAGAGAGAAAGAGGGAGAGGGAGAAGGGAGACAACCGTAGAGAAACACAACAAACATAGGCGAATGGCTGGAGGGAGGGAAAGAGAAGATTGAGCAACGAAAGTGACCTTGAGGCATACTTAGCGACGTAGCTGTTGTAATGCGGGTGGTGGTGAAGGGGGGAGGGGTGGCAGGCGGCCTCACGGGGTCTCACAAAAACGATTACACCACTCAAAAATCTTTTTTAAACTCAAATATTTTTACTACTCGGGTACTCGACCAACCCTAGATAGCATCTATACTTATTTAATACGCAAGCAGGATTTTTGTGACAATTACTCCTCCGAAACTACTGAACCGATTGACATGTTTTTGGTGTCATTGGAAAGAGCGTAACGTGAAGTTGTGCAGGAAACTTTTCCTGCACAACTTCACGTTACGCTCTTTCCAATGACACCAAAAACATGTCAATCGGTTCAGTAGTTTTGGAGGAGTAATTGTCACAAAAATCCTGCTTGCGTATTAAATAAGTATAGATGCTATCTAGGGTTGGTCGAGTACCAACCCTAGATAGCATAATTATTTGACGTTCATTCAGTTAAGTCATAAATTATCGGTAGGCTAAAAAATAATTCTTGCAATCAATATTAACCCATTATTTATTTTGGTAATGTTTATATTAATCATTAATTATAGTTATTTGTAGAAGAAACAAAATTTATTTAATTATTAAAGTCATTTTTAATAACAATAAAGCCAAGGAGCAGAGTGGGATTGGGCCACTGTCCCCCGCCCGATTTCCTCGCTGCTACTAGCAGACGAAACCTCTTGTCAACACGATAATGCGGACTCACGGCGGAAACGTATCCACGCAACAACATTCATTCAACTTTAAGTAATGTAAATATTCTGTGGTTATACTTTTCTATTGTAATCATCAATATATATCGCCAATCTACTTGTTTAACACAATTATTAAAATGCATATTTTCCCTGACCGTTTGCAAATTTCCCTGACTTTTCCCTGACTTTTCCAGATTTTTTTATATCCCTGACTTTTCCCGGTTTTCCCGGTTTTCCCGGTCGATCGCCACCCTGTATAAATTTGTAAACAGAAATACTTTTCAGATTCTTGTTAATTGTTTGACTGATTCAGGTTGTAACTGATTATCTGATAGTTCATAAGTTCTTGTCTGTAATGAAGACGTCACCAAGGAATTACTATTGAGGAATCTTGGGCTTGAAAGCTTAAGCTAAGTTAGGGTAAGCGAGAACTTGGGTGGTTAAGTATTATCGAACAAATATTCCTCAGTACACTACTCGACTCGGACACTACCTTTTTGAGGATACTCATAGAGTCATAAGCTTTTTAATGAGTTTTCTGGAACCATTTAAATCAAGCATCTATCATTAGTATGGCAGAATCAACATGCAATTTTCACTGTATTAGCAATGTATTATATAGCTCTTACCGTCAACTTTACTTTAAAAATACTGAAATTTGTTAAAACTGGGAAGAAGAATATAATGTACCGGTACTATAGGTTTAGATAGCGCAAAAACAAGAATGAGGCTAAATATAAAAAATCAGCGTAAGTATTATATAAATAATATAAAATACTTACTGTATTAGATTATTAAGAGTGTTAACTGATCAACAACTAGTTATAGCATAGGCTAATTGAATTTATTTTATGACAGAGGTTTTACAACATATCAAAAATGCATTGAATGTATGATCAAATTGTACAGTGCCTATATTCGTAGTTTAATTATGTAATTGTTAAGTAGCCTATTTACATTTGAAACTACCGTAAAATGTAAGGTTTATTTTTATAAATTGTTTTGTACATACTACAAAGTACCTAGTTAATTGCTTCGGAAAGCTTTTTAGTAATATTTTGAAGCAATAATGCATGTCACTTCACTGGAAGAAAACTCAAATCGTTTAAAAGCTGAGAGCTTACAAGTTTTTATAAACTTAGCTCGACTCAACTTGTACATTCAATACTAGCACACTCCTAAAATTAAGTCTGCATTTGTTTGATTAGCATAAAATTGTAGCCTTCTACACTCCATTATCGATAGTAAAATTCTTAAGTATTTATCAGATAACTTCCATTTTATTTCTGACATCAGCACCCGTTCCACTATTCCCGTTCCACTCTTCTTTTATCTACACCAATTCACCGGTTAACAGTAAAATAAATCTTTCTTAGTATCTGCAATTTGAAATGATTGTGGAATTTTCTTTCTGACCACATACAAATCCATAGAGAACCTTGTGAGGTTTGGGGCAGAGATAAAATCTATTATTTTGAGCAGCAGGCATGAGTGAGTCTCTGGTGCTGGTGTGGCAGATTGTTGGCGGCTTGTGTGAATGGACATTTAGGATTAGTAAATTTAATTTCATCATGTTTATAATATGGTACTTAAGATTATTTTATTTTATTTATAAAGTGGATAGTTTTATTTATGTTTCAGAGGTTAAGTGGTAGAGAGGACTTGCTAGTCCTAATTTCGCCTCTTAAATAAAGACATTTTTCATTTAATTTCATTGCATAGCCTTAAACTGTCTACAAGCAGATATTATCTTAATACTCAACCAAAATGAACATACCTTCTCATCAAAGTATACTTCAGAGTCGCTACTTTGACTTGTAGCTGTCAACGGATCAACGGTGAAAGTTCCTGGAATGAATATTAAAAACTTAATATCAAGATAATAAAATGTAATGTAAATATAATGTAAGGAACTGTATTAGGTTCAATAATGCATAGGCCTACTACTACTACATAGGTCTATTCTTTGTTCAACAGTTTTAAAACACTAAAGCCAAGTTCATTTATAATTTTAAGGGTCGTAGTGTGAGTACAGTTAAAAAGTTGGTTTTTTTGTGTTAAAAGTGATAATCTATCCATTATGAATAAGTTTATAATGAATGATCCTGAAAAAAAATCAATAGCTCCAAGTGAGTAACACAGCCTGCTACACAGATGATCTCACTCCATTCTACAATCATCTTACGCTCATATTTGTGTTAAAAAGTGCACAATTGCATCAAATCTTGATTAACAGTATGGTAATATCCATATTGTTTTTATTACCCTGCAAATATTTAATAATTAAGACCATTTCCAATGTCACATTTTCATCTTCAGTAGCCTACCTCTTAATCAACCCTGGACCAACCACCACTGGGATTAACGACCCATGCCCTGGCAAAAATAGAGGTCGCTCAGAATTTTAACTGTCCTTTTCTAGGACCTGGATCAGTTTCCACCCTTGTATTGGAGAATGTGGCACATTTTCCATCACAATGAACTTCTTACCCATGCAAGTTTAGTTATGTTATTAATCACACGGGAAAATGAAAAGTAAAAAGATATTACTGTACTAACTTTCCAAGTAGGCCTAAATGTTATAGCGCAATTGATCACTAATAATTGTTTAAATAATTTTTTTTTTTGACAGTAAGTGTGTGTAATTAACACAGTAAGAATACGCACGCAGCATGGTAAAGTTTCAAATTTGGTTGGGTTTTTTTTACAAAGTATTCCTATTTTTAAAAGAAAAAATTACTTTGATCATCAGACGTCAGAAATATTTTATTTAGGATTCTGCTGAAAAAACAACCACAATATCTCAATAAGAAATTTTACATGAATCCGAGGTAAGAAAGATTGCTGTAGTTACTGCGGGTTAAGGTAAAAGATTTTTTTCTATTGTGGACCCCTAGTTTACAATGCTTTGCCGACTGAGTTAAAGCAAAAAGGTCGTAGGATATTCAAGATAAATGTTAAATATGTTTACCTACGACAGTTTTTAAACTAGATTATTGTTAATATAGTTGATATTAATGTTAAATTTAAAATTATTAATAGCCTTTTTAATTCAGTTTTAAGAGTTGAGAAGATTGACTTAACAGTATTGTTTACTTACTTTACCTAAGGTCGTTTTTTAAAGTAGGCCTAGCCATTTCAGTTCAGTTATTAGACTTGAAAAGTTTCACATAACAGCATTGTTTACTTTCATAACAGCATAGTTTTCCTACTCATAACACGGGTAACAGACCATTGAGGTTGGATTGAGAGAGAAGTAAAATTGTAATGATTCAAACTTCAACTACTTAGCTGTTCAGGCCAATTTAATTGTTGAGTGGTGCAATTAGTCATTGGTACAATTTTTTTGTTGCATCACTGTCAGTGGCAATGAGAGGTTATAGATGAGAACATATCCTCTCTTAGAAGTTATTAGTAGTGATTTTTAGTAATTAAAGCACTGTCGTAGGTAAATAGTGATAATGACACTCGTAGAAGTTTTTAAGGCACTCGCCAATTCTTTAAGTCTCTTATCTAATTTAATTTATTATTGTTATCATCAACTCTAATTCAAACATTGTACCAAAGATCTTTTTAACTACAGTAGAGAGTAGAAAATCCGAACGTCAAAAATCCTAAACGTCAAAAATCCAAACCGCTCCTGAGGGTTTTAAAATATAGAATTAGCACAGAGACAACGGATGTTTTACAATTTTGTGGACCAAACAGTCGGCGCCTGGCAGGGAAATGAGTGAACGCGCCGAGCCAGTCTGTTTCCAATGTCCCTACATATTTTCCTAGGCCCTACATATATTTTTCAAGAAACAAATTCCCCAGTTATATAACAAAAATATCTAAGTACAAAAATCATTATTTTTATTTCATTCCTGGAATCATATAACTGTATTTTTAATACTGTATGCCAAATTATGTGTCTATTAGGCATTTCTGAAACATCCGAACAAATCAGTAATCTGAACTACCTACGGTCTCAATTTGTTTGGATTTTTGACTCTATACTGTATGTTTGCTTTTTAAACAAGTACTCTATACTTGAATAGGAAATTATGACAGTAGTAGGTAGCCTATGGTTACTTGTACCAAAGAAAACTTCCCTTGATAAACTGGCATTTAAAAGATTCACGTCTTGGAAAAGTCAAGTTGCATCATTTTAACACAATTTGCCACAAATATGCGACGCTGCGGTCATTGCACATAGACCGGGAGTTACAGTAGACCCTCTCTAATCCGGCACTGCACCACTCCGTCACTCCAGTAATACGGCGTCTTTTGACGGGGTGAGTTCTTACGCTATCGCGGCAAAATTTATTATCTTATAATTTATAATTGTATAAATTAATAATTATTATCTTATAATTTATTATCTATTTTGATTATCTCCCACGGCCGTGTAGACATCATCATCCACTCACGCGGTCACAAAAACGTCATCGTCGTCTTGCGCGATTGCGTCAAAATCATGAACATATCCAGCGGTCACAGAAAAGTCATCGCCTTCATGCACGATTTCGGCAAAATCATAAAAATCCCCCGCGGAGGTATAGCGTTATAATCGCCTCCCGCGGTCACGGATTTGTCATAGTTGTCATCGCGCGGCAAAATCATGAACATCTCCCGCGGTCATGTAGACATTATCGTTGTCTTCCACGGTCGCGGCAAAAATTTTATCATCTCCCCCGGCCGTGTAAACATTATTGTCTACTCCCCCGGTCACAGAAACGTCATCGTCGTCTTGCGCGATCGCGCCAAAATCATTAACATCTCCTGCGGTCATGTATCATGTAGACATATCGCGGTCTTCCGCGATTACGGAAACGTCATCATCGTTATGCCCGATCGCGGCAATAGCGGTTTGCGATCTTTGGAGACGTGTTTTAATTGCATTTTAAGTGTTTTATCTATAACATTCTAGTAATCCGGCATTTTCACTAATCGGGCAGTATCACGGATTACTGAGAGCCTAGTGTACTTGGTCAACATTACACGCAGACCACAGGCTAGTGATGCAGCAAAGTAAAGAACAGTTTTGCCAACAATTATATGTCATCACTAATCATCATATCCACAAAACAAGTGACGCACATATGCAAAAGACATCCCTGTTAACCACTGCAGAGAATTCAGGGCCTTCAAATAGACCCTTACGGAAATATAAGCTTTTTAATATCATAATAACTCAATAACTCATTTATTTAGCAAGATTAACATTACAAATGCATTAGCCAAGTCAAATTTACTAAAAATAACTATTAACTAACTTTTAAAATAATTAAAATTAATAATACTAAAATATGCGACGGCAGTCTATTTTTATATCACAAGCTGTCAAAGGGTAGAAACTGGCCGTCACATATGTGTGTCGCTGGTCCATATGAATGAATAATTTAGTACTATTGTGAAAGTGCATTATAAGTTAGTTTAACTTAAGATATTAAAAGTAATATACACAAAAGTAAAAAACTTACCACTCTTGGATATCACAATAGAGGGTTGTTTTTTTGTCATCTAAAAGCAAAAGTAAAGAGATTATTAATAAAATAAAATAATGCCATTTTGTATGAAATTAGACAGACAGGCGTAGGAACAATATTTTCCCAGTTTAGTATAAGTAAATATGGATGTAAATTACTCGTTGTTTGCACTAAAGAAATTGTTTTAATCTAATTTAACTTAGATCTTAAAGCTACTTCCTACAACATGAAACAATGTTAGTTTCAGATAAAAAAAAAATATATATTAACTACTTAGTGGTTTTAGTTTGGCGAGGATTTTCGAATATGCCTGACACAACTCAATGTAGATCATCCCTCAAAAGTAATTAGATACAGTTTGGTTTTATCAATTTCAAGATCTCCCAGTCGCATTGGGCTTGTTGTCTGCATTATCTCCTTTTAAAGGATCACAATTTTTTAGTTCTGAGCAGTGCTTCTGAGCAATGCTTTTTCTAAAACGACCTACTGACACTTGACTCTCCTGTAATCTGTATGTATCCAGATTAATTTTAACACCCCTACCATATCAAACCTGCAGACTAAGAAAATTTCCAATTGTCTGATTGGATCCATACTAATATGTTTCCTTTAAAAAGTCAGTTTTATCTCCAGTTTAGACAATATTAGGTTTAACCCTCGAGGGACTTGTGAAGTATAGCTCAGCATATTACTACGATTTAGTAAAAAAAAAATACTTAATTGACAGTGCCAGTCCTGCCCAGCTCTCTACTTGACACACACCACATTCCTGGATTCCCTCAAAACAATGTTTACACCCACCTTCCCCCTAGATTCAATCTGAGATGTGAGTTGTTGAAGGTGGTTGAGTTGCACGCTTTCTAGGGTTTTGTTTTATTTCTTACAAATTCTTAACATAGGACTATTGCGATACATAATAGAATTTTTCTGATAGTAAAATTTGATTTTATAAGAGTGTACAAATATCCTAATAAAACTATGATGATCCTCTTACTTGGTTTTTTTACAAATAAATGTTTTTCTATTACCGGTAATCAATCAATCAATCCTCATGCTCTTAACAACGACTTAAAATCCTAATTAAACCATTTAAAAGAACTCATTATGGTTGATTTTTTTTTATATTACCGTACTCATAAATAGTTGTTATAGGCTACAGTTGGCAATTTAAAATAAATTGGTTCCTTATCACTTTGGTTATAATTTAACTACAAAATTATGTGAAAAACCCAAATGAAATTGCCTAAATTGAATAATTTTGTACAATTTTGTGATGCGGAAAATGTTCTATAGCATTTTAAAGGTTAAGTGCCTGCTTTAAGGTTGAAGAGTACTTTGTTAAATAGGTTTAACGAGGGTTTCTGCTATAGAGGTGATAAAGTTTGTTTATAATTAAATGTTAATAGCTGATGATAAAATAGACTTTGGTAAAATGTTAATAGCCAAATTTGATCAAAAATATGTCTAGATCAACAAGCAAACTATACCAGTTTACTTATTCTCATAGGTGTAGAGTCGCGTCCATACTACGAGGGTTATTCCAAAAGTAAAGTCTGATTCGCTGTAAGTAGTTGAAGTGAGCACCACAAGGACAAAACACACATGCGCGCCGACTACCGGCATGCCTTGCGCGTCACGCGCCGCCATTAGCGTTTTTATTGTTGTTGTGTGCTGTTTATAGTGTCAGTTCACAATGTTTAAGACAATTGATCGGCCCGTCGATAAGTATGCGCAGTGATACAGATTTTCTCTGCAAGAAAACTTTCAGCGGCAGAAATTCATCGGCAGATTACTGAAGTTTACGGTCCTAACATAATTAGAGACAGTAAAAAGTGCAAGCTTTTAATGAAGGACAGGAAAATGTGCATGATGAATCAAAGTCGGGCTGACCATCAGTGATTTAAGAAGATTTGGTCAATGCGGTTAACGAAAAAATTGTGAAGATCGACGATTCACTATTTCAGATCTCCACTTGTTTTCCACTTTTTTATTTCCACATTTAGATTTTCACTTTTTACGCTACCTACTTGACAGCAACCGCTTCGACAAAGATGATGAAGTGAAAGAAGCAGTTAAAAACTGGTTATCTTCGCAGGCGGCTGATTTCTACGTCTAAGGCATTCAAAAGCTTATTGAACGATGAGACAAATGTTTTAAGTATGGAAATTATGTAGAAAAATAGACTAATGTGCAAGGAATATAAATAAAACAATTATTTTAGAAACAAATGATTTTTAATTTGTTTTTCTTAACCGGACCTTACTTTTGGAATAACCCTTGTAGTAGCAGTTGGTCAGGTGTTTACCATGTTTAACCCTCCAAGTGTCCATAGTAATGGTATTAATATCCGCCCATTTATTGCGCAATCGCAGGGTTTTATTAAAATGTATCTTAGAAACTTAAAAACACTCTAAAGTATACTGTTTTATATATCATTTTGATTGGGAAATTATGGGCTTCAATGTAATATATACAACATTACAAAACAAATTCTCAACAATTTTTGTGGGGTTAACATTTCTCAAAAATTATAAAATAAATGAAAAAAATTTATGTTTGCGCTCAATAAATTTTTATAATTTTAGGTCTACAAGTATTTTAAAATAGCCACTTTGTTCTAAATTTTATGAGGATTCCAAAAATATAATATAAGGAAGTAGGTTTGCAAATAAAAAACAGGTGAAAAACAGATTTCGTACATTTAGCGTTAGCTAAGAATGCATAGCCTAACCATAGCTAGGAATCTGGCGGATAATTTACATCAATATCACTACCTACTTCTTCAGGATCATCAACCAGCCCTTCAAAATCACTTAAATCTTCTTAGGCCAATTCTACACGAGCGTGAAAACCGCGACGGGGCCGTCGCGTGACCACGCTGATGTTTTTTGCAAACTACACGTGGCGGGATCCCCATCGCGTGAAGTCCGCGTGAAACCCGTCGTGCCATTCTACACGAGGCGGTTCAGACGCGGGATGGACACAGTGGAGCTAGGTTGGAAGGTTTGATTCCCATGTTATTCTTATGGAGAAAATTAAATTTGTTGCAGTTTACTTATTAATGGATATATGTTGATAACATTTGGCAAATGTATTTATTTCATCCTATACTATTGACCTATATGGTCAAAAAAACACGTTTTACCTTCCCCGTAGCAGACAAAAATGATAGAAAAATGAAAAATGTAATCAGACAAGTTGAAATTCGCTTAGTCTGCAGGTTTGCTGCGGTGGGGGTATTATAACTGGTGACAACTTTAACATGGGGATGGAATGCAAAGGTACAGGCTTCTCTATTTTCTTCCTACGCTGTAAATAAAACATGTGATTGGAATTTCTTCCATTTTTTTTCTGTTTATATTTTGTTGTTAAAAATTTTGTCACCAGCATGGCAACCCATAAAGCTCAGGTTAATTTTTTCAAATTTAAAATTCATTTTTTGTCCTTGTATTTGAGCCTATTTTAATTTTTAAAGGGATTCTGCACATCTACAGGAAAATATCTTTCTAACGGTGTGCGTAGATTTTCTCTGCGATGCACACAAGCTGAGAAAAATGTTTTAAAGAAACGTGCTTGCCTATTAATATATAGATTGGTTTAAATTGACAATGTTATGATTCGTTAGTTCCAAACCATGTTAAAACATTTTCATATGTTAATTTCAAACATAAGTTCGGTGTTGAATTATGTGGTTAGTTCGACGATCCTCTTAAAGACCTGAATTTTTTACTTTGAAACACATGTTGTACCCTTGAAATTTGTTGTCCCAATTGCTTTGCCGGATGGTGTCAATCGCTTAGTAAAAATATCCCACGTTTCATGCATGTCAATAGCTTTCAGAATACAGCATGTATTATTTTATGTACAAACTTTGTTTAAATATTATAAATATTTTAAAATTAAAAAATTATTTTAAAATCTACATTTTGCTATTAGCATGCAAATACCGCTGATATTACTTGAACATTTGTATATAAACGCCACAGACTAAGTGCATTTCTTCGCTTTTCAGAGTGAACCATGATGTAATCTTAATCATTGTTAAGTGGAGGCCGAGCCTCTAACTCGCAAATAAACTTTTCGGTGTCGAACATCTTTAAAACTAGAACGCAACCGTAGTAGGCCTACAATAATAGATCAGAGTTGAGCTGGCGCCCGCGGTGACAACGCTACGTGGGCGGGATTCCCGACGCGGGTTTGACACCGACCTCGACGTCAACACCGCGCCCCCGCCTACTGCCGCGTCCTTCCGCGACGTGAATCCCGCTCGTGTAGACACGCCAATCTACCACAATGGTTCCTGTCGAGTGCACGGTCCCGACGCGGGAATTCCGTCGCGGTTTTCACACTCGTGTAGAATGGGCCTTATAATGCACTAAGTATATCACTTCTTTTTATTTTTAACACTAAAACAATGATAAACGTAATAAAACACATCAGTCATCAGTGCGAGGTTAACCCAGTTGTTTACAAACACGCACGTCATCTGTCTGCTACAATATTTTCGGAACAAAAATGAAAAGCGTCCAGAAACAGACATCAGGAGAAAGCTTAGAATCTGCCGAAAACAACGATACCAATCTTGATCCAGTTCAATCTGATTCAGTCAGTCCCAGAGCCTTCGCCGTTTAAATGATGTTTGTGTGTCGCAAAAGCGACGCATAACACCACAGCGGGTGTGTTGTGGGTCGATTACGCGACGCTTAACACTCGGAGGGTTAAAGAATGGCACGCATAATGACCTCATGCTGCCCGTCCACACAACCTTCCCCCAAAACGCAACTAGCCTGTGGGTGAAGACTCTTAAAAAGTCATGATAGAATGGTTTCTAGATAGTCTGAATTAACTTATTACCTGATTACTGTTGAAAGAATCCCTTCTTTAAGCCAAGGATAGTTTCAACATTAAGCAGGTAACTTAAACCTCTATTAAATACCCACTTAGTAAACATATTAAAAGTATGATTAAAATTATAAGAAAAATTGAATGTTTACCTCTTTTGAGTAATGCTCATAAGTTGAGCTATCATGTCTCTTTCTCATTTTCCTCGCTGGTTTAAATTTTTCAGAATTATCTGGTCCAAGGTAGCGAATTCTTTTGGTATAAGGAATATTTTTTTCATTGTGATGCCTTGGTCTATTTTTATTTTTTAGAGTTACATATACACTTCCATCTTCTATATTTATTTTCCTGTTATCATTTTCACTAGAACTTCCATTTGTAGTGTTAGTGTTGGAAAATTCACTGCTTGTAACAGAAGATTCTTGACTGGATTGAGATGTTTGACTCGATGATGATGAATCACTTTCTCTGTACCTTTTCAAATTTCTAAACCTAGTTTCACTCTTTCTTCCTCGTTGCCTTAGTTTACTTTTTAAAATACTTCTTTCCAGACATTTTTTTTGCCATTCTAGATCACGTTTCATCAGCTTTCTTTTTATTGAATTGAGACCCAACACTTTTTTCAACAGTTTAAGAGCCTTTTCATCAAGTCCTAACAGATCCAATATTGGTGTTCTTGATTTTAGAACTTTATTTGAACCGTCTTGTCTTTTGGTGGTATCTGAATTACTTGGCATATTATCATGGACAGATATTGAGTCTTTCTTAAAATAAATACTTTCATTTCGTTCATGTTCATCTGCTGTAGCTTGGTCCGACTTATTATAGTTTTTATAGTTCAAGGACTGGGCAGTGTTCATATCAGCTATAGTTCTCACTTTTAGAGAAGTGCTATTTGGGGGATAAGGAGGCTCAGAAACAGGGCCTAAAGGTTGGGGCTGATTGTAGATACCACTACCATAATTGACATCCGGGTGGCCCATTGATTGATTAAACATTTGTGGATCTTGCATGCTACTTGAAGGATGCGCATATTGATTGTACATTAGATGTTCCCTGAGATGCATGTTATGATCAAACTGTTGGTACATGGGGCCTTGTGTGAAGGTTCTTTGCATTGCAAGATGACTCTGTTGAGTGGACATAGGATGGCCTTGCTGATTCATAGCAGCGCCATGGTGGGCTTGGAGTGATTGATTTAAACCACTGGTGTAGTGTTCTGGAGGTGTAGGTTGGTGTGAAATAACTGGGCCCATTTGTTTTGGGATTTGTTTTGTGATTTGATTATTACCAGATTTTTGTAGATTTTTATTCGACGGTTCTTCAGGTTCCATCAAATATTCATCAACAATAGCTATGTCTGAATCTGATCCTGACTGCTCTGATACTCTGTTCAATTCTTCAGTGAACATGTCAAAAAACTCTTCATCATCAATTTTTTTTACACGATTTTTGTTTATAATTGATAGAACCTTGTCATAAGTCATGGGACTATCGGGATTTTTTTCATTTACCTTTTCACCATCCCTGGAAAGGATTAATCCTTTAGACTTAATGTCAACTGGTTCAGAGCCGAGGTCATTTAAGACCTCATTTTTAACTTCTTCACTTTCTTCTTCCTCTTCTGCTGAAGAAACATATTCACTGTCGCCAGTTTCATCATTTATCTCTGAAGAAGCACTTTCATCAAGATCACAAACTTCTTCATTTTCATCCGAATATGAACCGCTGTCAGACAACCCTTTGTAAATGTCACAAGAGCCTTCTTCAGATTTATCTAAGTCTTCTTCTTCATTAATTTGATCTCCTTTCTCATCACAATTGTTTTCATCCTGTGGTTTTAATTCTTTATCTAAGCTTGGATCAGTCTGATCAGAAATCTGATTGTCCAGTTGGAAGTTATTATTCAGCCATTCGTCTTGTACTTTATTCTGTTTAGATGCACTATCTATGATAGAGGGACATTCTGTATCTTCAAGTTCGGTATCTGAGGAGGAATGTCGTGGAACTGAACAGTCCGTATCAATTGTATGTGACTTTTCCATTTGAGTATTTGATGTCTCGTTCTTTGTATCAACCAAATTAATCACAGGCATTTCCTCCATTCTGTTAGTGATAGCACATTCAATATCATTGGGTTTACAAATATCAAATACTGCTTCACTTTTGGCTGTTGTATTATCTAAATTGTAATATTCTATACAATTTGAGTTATTCTCAACTTGTTTGCAAGCAATTATTCCGGAATCTTCCTTAAAAATGAGTTTATTGGGATCATCTTCTCCTTCAGCCTGTTCAACTTTAGTTTCAAATGTCTTTTGATTGACATCCTGTATACTCATTTGATCATGTTCAATGTAAAGCTCATTATTTTCTAGTGATTTTATAGGGATGGAATTTCCTGTATCTTCTTTGGTGATGCTATCTTCAGAGTCTGATGATATAACAAGGTTAATATCAGAAACAGCACTTTTACACTTAATTTCAGATTGTTTTCCAAAATTATTATCAACATCCAAAGATATTTCATTATCATCACAGGGTTTCAAGTGTTCTTCCATACTGTCTTTTACCTGTTGGTTTGTTTGTTCCTCAATTACAGACTCATCATAAACTTCAAGTTTAACAAACTCATCATTGGATTTATTTGGACTACCATCATTATCATCACATTTGATAACAGGTTTACTAATTTTCAACTCTTCATCTTTTTTACCAGAGTCATCATATTTTATTTGGTTTGTTTCTGTGGTATTCAAATTAAGAGATTCACGTGTACCATCATTGTCAGTGTTCAGCAGAATATTCTCAGTGCTTCCATTTGAAACCTTCATGATGATGACATCTTCTATATCTGATTTATTAGATTTAACTTCAGGTAAGTCAATTTCAATGGATTTAGTTAAATCATTATTATCTTTGTTAGTTGTTTCTCTTTCACATGTAGTTTCATTTGGTTCTTTTCTAGCGTTGTCGCATACTGAGGATTCATCATCTTCCACTGATACTGTTGTGTTTTGTGAAATATTGTCAGTGTTCAGCAGAATATTCTCAGTGCTTCCATTTGAAACCTTCATAATGATGACATCTTCTATATCTGATTTATTAGATTTAACTTCAGGTAAGTCAATATCAGTGGATTCAGTTAAATCATTATTATCTTTGTTAGTTGTTTCTCTTTCACATGTAGATTCATTTGGTTCTTTTCTAGCGTTGCCGCATACTAAGGATTCATCATCTTCTACCGATACTGTTGTGTTTTGTGAAATTTCAATGACTGTGGGATGTAAAGGAATCTCTTGTGACAGCTTACTATTGTCAACCTCAATGTTAGTTTTAATTTCCACATCCAAATTTGTATTTACTGCATTAAGATTTGAGGAACAAGAACTTGGTTGAGAAAAATCAACGTTTTCATCTTTGTTAATCTTGGCACAATTTGGACTGTTCACAATTAGATCTAACGAGTCTTCTGTTTTAGGGCAAGTTAAAGAATCAGTTTCTTTAGACACTGTACTAACCTTGGCTGCAGTCTGTTGATTACTAAAATTATTTTCATTTTCAGACTGTTGGCTACTTACATTGTTTTCAAGAGGCTCACTATTCTTTTTATCTCTTTCGGTCAAGACATTTATGTTTTCATTACAGTTATCCCTTTCTTCATCACTTAATTTTTCACCCTCATTTACTTCATCAATTTTATCTATTTTTCTCACCAAAGAGTGTGAAATGTTTTCACTAGTTGCGTTAGGTGTAAAAACAAAGTCTTTACTTTCACTTTGGGCCCTTCTACCTCTCTTGTTTGTTGGTGTAGAAATTAAATCTAATTTACTGGAACTCGATGATCGTTTTATTTTTTTACCTGAATCTACTAAATCTGAACATGAAGTTGAACTACGACGAGGTCTGAGGGATCTTCTAGAACCTGAAGGCGAAGGTGTTTTTTTGGGTGTTAATTTAGGAGACTCTTGAGATTTATCATTCAAACTCAGGTTTTCCAATTTACCCCTATCATCCACATCATCATTGCTAATTTTATTTTCAATGTTGGTTGTATCACCATTAGTCTTTCTTTTAGAATCATTTTGCGTAATCTTGCGTCTTGATTTACGCACGTTCTGTTTGACATCTTCGCCTGCTTCTTTTTCTATTGATTCGTCTTGCTCAACATTTTTAGGAGTATTTACCTGTTTCGCTGAAGACCTTGTCAGGCGGTTTCTTGGTGTACTTGCCTTTTCCATACTTTTGCTTTAGATATCTTCATTAACTGTAACAAAAATATCAAAAAAACTTCAGAAACATACACATAATTATTTGTATTCCACATTATTAGTTTTTTTTTTTTTTTTTTTTTTTGTAATTTAAGTTCCTTTAAATAACGCAAGGCTGTTACAAATTGTTTTAGCTATTGTATAGTAATTAGGTTTATAGCTCTCATTAGTAACAACAGCAAAATAAATAGACTTCCATAACTAGACGTATGAATAACCAAGAAAGCATAGTGTTTATTCTTATAAAGAGTTTGTCATTAAACATTGATTATCCTTGGTTTCTTACCTATTATACTTAGCAAAAATCTTAGTGACTAAATTTGATTATTTAAATATTTTGAGCTCTGGTACAAATGCTAAAGACCATGCTTGTTTTGAGAATGAGGATCATCGAAAAGTCTGTGTAAACAACTATTGGGACGGGGCACTTGTGGAGTAAACCTGAAATCTGACACGATTAACTAAACTGTGTCTCAATTCAACGCTCAAATATTTTTGGGATAGAAATAGGTGGTGAGGATTTCAGAAATGTAGTGTTAGTGTAAGTCAGCCTAACATAAGTGCAAAAACCTAATGAGTAGTGATGGGAACAACTGATTGAAAACAACCAATTCAATCAATTGTCGGAAAACAACCGACTAGTCAGTTGTTCTCCCGGATATGATTGAAACTAGTCACTTCATACTCCCGGTCCTACCAAGACCAACTACAAAGATTTTTAGTTGGTCCTGGGTCGTACGGCAACTGGAACCAGTCAACCAATCGTTGGAATAACTGGAAACATTCAAACGTCGGTGATTGAAACTAGTCGTAAGAACCATACTGACTGTTGTTGAGACTGACTGGTGAATGAAAAGGGTTGTAGATAAACTATTGTACTGTACACTAATAGGGAACAGTGTTTAGGTATAATTAAAATAATGTAAAAATGTGTATTTTTTATGTCTTAAAAAAGTGTTTAATTTCCAAGTCACTATTTTTTAAGTATTGTACTCATGATTTAGATGTAAATGACTTATACAGTAACATCTGCTTTAAAACCAGGTAATGAACAAATAGGAGTATTTGTTTTACTGAGTTTAGTTTGAGAAAGTAGGACTCCTGAATAATTTATAACTTGTCCTGTATAAACTAAATGTTATTAAGTAATAATACAAATTAAAATTCAACACAAAAGACAACAAACAATAAATCAACAACAAAGACTCAAACGTTTCCAGTAATAATGTGATTGTTTTCCTTGCAATAATGACTGAAACCATTGCGCCGATTGAACACCACCAGTTGTTGTAGAGGAATTCACTCGGTTTATTACTCAACTGAAAAACCCGTCTATAAACAACCAAAAACTCAACAAAAAACAACCGATTGACTCGAGTCGATTGTTTTTTCCAGTGGGTTGTCCTATCACTACTAATGAGTATTTTTTATTTAAGATTGGTTTTTTTAGAAACCAATCTTATCAACATCTTTTATCTTTATCAACATAAAACCGTGGATTGAAAGCTCTTATTTCCTACTTGTGCCTTTTAAGAATAGATAAAAAGACTTAAGAGGGCTTTATTAGCTAATAGCCCAGTCAATAAAGGTTTTTTATCGCAACTAAATAATGGAAAGTTGGATTTTTTATGTGATAGAGCCTTAGTATTTCTTATCTTGATTAAAAATGGCTTACATAATATTATTGAGTTTTCTACGTGGCTCATGATATAATTTAACAAGGTTTGTACCAAAGATAAGTGGGTCGACAAAAATATTTTACTAACAGTGAGGCGCTTCATTTAGTTACGGTTTAGCTTAAAACAGATTGTTTTGTTAGTAAAGTAAAAAGTAGGAAGCTTAGGATTTGTATCAAACAGTTGAGAACTTAGGGATGCCGGTGCATACAACTGGGGTGCGACGCACCGACGCGTCAGGTAGGGCTGCGCGGATGTTATAGAAGCCTGCACGCACTATCTTTGCCAACGCCCCCACTACATTAGTTCGTTCAGACGACTAACCATAAATATATTTTTTGAACCATTTTGGGTATTTTATTTGAAAAAAATATATAGAGGGTAAAACAAAATGACTAACATAAATAAATACATGTACGCCTAATAAACATGTCTTTAAGGATGGGAAGTTTCCCAGAATGTTGGAAACATAGCCTAGTAATCCCCCTTCCAAAAATGAACAATGCATCAATGGTTTCACACTTTAGACCTGTATCATTGTTGCCTATGTTATCAAAAATACTAGAGAAGGTTGTTGTACACCAGATAACGCACTTCATTGATACAGAACATATTTTAGATGTTAACCAATCTGGTTTTAGACGGGGACACAGTACATGCACAGCTTTGCTTAATATGATTGATTGACAAAATTTACAACGCCAAAAATAACAAGCTATGCAGCGTATTGTCGTCATTAAATTATACACAGGCATTTGATTCTGTAAACCATAGCATGTTAATTTCAAAGTTAAAAAACTTCAGATTTGACGGTACGGCTGTAGAGTGGATGACCACATATTTGAGTGGGAGATCACAGATTACAAAGGTGGGAAATCAGCTCTCATCCTCACTGGCAACGACAGTCAGTGTTCCCCAGGGAAGTTGTCTTGGTCCTATCTTATTTAATATGTATATAGTAGGTATTGAATCTGTATTGGATTTTGAGATATGTATTCTTATGCTGACGACTGCCAAATCTTCTTATCATACCAGCCTACTTTGGTAGGGGAGGCATTACAACATATGAGTAGTGACCTTTTAAAGGTTTGTGAATGGTCTAGGGATCATGGGTTGAAACTATACCCTGAAAAATGCTCCGCTATGCACTTTGCCAATGCAGCAGCCTATGAGCAGTTGGAAAAACACAGCATCAAAGTTACAGTTGATAAATCAGAGCTATCAACTTCCAAAAGCATTAAGATTCTTGGGGTGACGATTGACTCACAGCTGACCTTTTCTAACCATGTCAAACAGATAAGCAAAAGTGTTGTTGGAAAATTAAAAGTTCTTAATAGGTTTAGAACATTGCTCCCAGCAAACATCAAGTTGAGGTTGGTCAAATCCCTGATTTTCCCTACCTTAAATTACTGCCTAGCCTACGTTTTTGGATACAGTTTAACACAGGAACAGATCACTATACTACACAGGCTACAGAATTGCTCTCTAAGGTTTGTATACAACCTCAAAAAGTATGACCATATTACAAGTCACCGTAGGATGTCGAATACAATTTCCGTCCAGGAGAGCTGTGATAAGCAGGTTGTCTGTATCGTTCACAAGACACTTATCACTGATGCACCACAATATTTAAAGGAAAAACTGAAAGCGAGGTCAGCCGTGAGAGAGCGCAGAACTAGACAGGACTTGTTGCTTGACATACCAAGGGTTGTTCTTGATGCTGGTAGAAAGGGGTTTTCTTACTTTGGGCCGGCTCAGTACAATGCACTTCCTTGTTCACTAAAAGCACTGTCTTACAACAAATTAAAAACTCGCCTGAAGGATTTGTAATAAAATTTTTATTTTGTTTTGTAGTGTTAAGAATTTTTGTTTAGTTTTATTCCTGACTTGAGTCAATTTGTAAAACAGTAGGCCTATTGTTACTGAAATTGGCTCATGAATAAAGACCTTATTTATTTATATATAAAAGATAAAAACTAGATGACTAACATAAATAATATATTTGTATACCTTGAAACATGTACTAAAACTTTAGTTTGAACCATATTTGCGTATTATTTCTATTACAAAATATATATAGAGAAAAACAAAGCTGTGTACTCTGAAACAAAGCTTTAAACTAAGTTTAAATTTTATATCTCCCTAATTACTGGTTTTAGAAAAATATTAGAAATACAAAAGTTGTAGGAAAACAAATCAGAAAAAAAAACAAATTGCAACACAAAAGCTTAAACATAGTGTTTCACTTATGATCAATTAAGTGAAACACTGCAATTTCTATGTTTGGAGGGGAGTGGGGGAAGCCGTGGCCTAGTCGGCCTACTGGTAAATCCGGCACTGGCCATTAACGACTTTATTAATCCTTACAAAAAGTACTATTTATTAACGTACTCCGCATGTAAGTTATTTTGATGAGAATAAATAAAAAAAGAACCTCTATAGAATATGTAAGTTAAACTGGTCTAAGTTAGTTGAAAGTTTCCTGCAGTGATAAGTTAAGCTCAGTTATTTTGGTTTTTGCTTTGCAGTTATTTGGCTTCCTGAAGTGTGAAAATTCTTGCTGGTGGTTAACCTGATGAGATGTCCAAACACCTATAGCGATGCAGTTATATGTTTTCATAAAACTTATTTAGGTGCTTGCAGCTGTTAAGTTGAGTTTCAGTTGGTTTAAGCGATGAACATGTTAGAAGTTAACCTAAACCTAATAATCCTATTTTTATTTCTGTACCTGTACCTAATTATTTAGTATAGGTGCCTCCAAACGAATTTTTAATTTTGTTGTCTAGCATTACAGTTTTTTACCTCCTGAATCCAAATATAGGCTACCATTATTTTTCACCTCTGATAAATATTCTAAAGATATTGCCGTAACATTACAATAAACAAGGTAGGACGGATGACATTTACAAGTGGAATGAACTGTAGGTGAAGTGAGCCAACAGCTGATTGTTTTCAATCATAGGTAAGCAAATGGAAGTGACAACTTTATTAGCTGACTATTAGCTATGCTAGACCTAGGAGTTATGGCATTATCACTTAGATAAATCCCGCAAAATAACCAATGGATTTTATCTAAGTGATAATGCCGTAACCCCTAGGGCCTGAAGTACGGTAATGTGAAAAACAATTCCGGGCTCGTGCCTAGCGTCCTAGGACAAAAAAAGAAAAAAAAATTAGCTAACTCTGATTCTGCAATTTGAAAATCACCTGATTAAGTTACACTTTTCACTTTAATGTTATTTATTATTGTTGCCAGTATTTTATTCTTATTAATGATTCATATTTCCCCGTTTGGAAATAAAAGAATAAAATGGTACTAT